TAGTGCCCCGCCGGGGCCGTTGGAGCCAGCCTGCCTCCCGCGAAGGTCCTTCAGATGCAATAGGAAAGAAACGATGTAAAATGTGGTTTGATTTTGCGTTACCTTACTGCCAGTACTAGGGCAGTATTGTTAGTGTTGGAAGGCAATGTGTTTGACTAACCACTTGAATTAATACTTGAATTGTTGTCCGTTTGGCATGTGTTGAGACATGAAATGCTGTTTTCACCTACACACATGATACGTGAAAATGCCCTCCTCCTATTTTCTGACAAACAACTTTGTTTATAAATTAGCACTCCTTTTTGGCATGTTTGAAAAAAACCTGAATTATTCATTGACAAAAGTAACTTACAAACATTAGTTTATTTCACTGTAGTTACTAACTAGCTTATAATAAAAGTGATTTTAAAGTGTGTACATTTTGTATTAAACTTGCTTCTTATCACTGATGTTTATCTGTCCATGCAGGTACACGGGTCCCCTGTTGGAGGAAGAAGCCCTGAACAAAGCAGCAGAAAAAGGATTGTCTTCACCAGAATTTTTTGAGCTTTGCGTTTGGTTAGGTTCCCAAATAAAGTCACTTTGTAATATGGAGGAAAGCATCACTTCAACAGATGGTATATGAATGTTAATTTATTGAAGCAATTTAGTATTTGTTCAGTGGATTTAGATCCGTATTGTTCAGCTAATAGTGAAATTACAGTTTTGAAATTTAGGAGATAGCTGAAGGGTGGCCAAATGAAGCTGATATTTGTGTGTATGTGGGTCTTAGATAAAGGTCTTGTCTTGTGAAGATTCTTTCAAAAGAAAAAAAAATATGTTTTGGGTTTTCTTTAGATCTGCTTAGATATAAAAAGTACATCCTATGAATGGTAGTTATATGTAATCATATTTTGACAGCTTAAATTCCAGTGCCTGGTATTTTTAGCTAGTTGGTCCAGTGCAGTGTTTCATTCAGCACTGTGTGTAGATGCGTGAGTTGCTCATTAGTGCTACTTGATTCTTTCTCTGTTGAGTGCTGGAACTTGGATGAGATTTTATATGCTTGTGTTTTCACAAAAAAGTAGTAAAACTAAAAACAACCATTGAAAATAACAGGCTCATGACTCCTGTAACTTGTTAATCAGAAAATTAATTACATTAACAGGCTGTTTTGTGCCATAAGCTGTTCATTTGGTAGTGATGTTCCTATGATCTGAAAAAGAAATAAGCACTGGCTGTTTTTCTGCTAGGCATGAATTGCTCGTTCATTCCATTTATTTGCATTCATGTCTTCAAAGACTGCTGTAGCATCACCTTCTTGTTTAAAGCATGAGTACAATATTGCCGTAGCTATGAAAAAGCTTGTCTGCTTGTATGTAGGACTTCTTTAAGAAGAAAGAAAGAAAATGCTACTTAGGGTCGTAGGTGGTAAATTTTTGTCTGGGCTATTGAAACCTGCTGCAATTATGTGTATAAGCTAAGAAAATTAGCTTACAGTTTGATGTTTCTGTAAAAAGCCATTGACTGTGCATTTATTTATTCCCATAGGTGATAAAGATATAGAGAGCTTCCAGCTTGAGATTAGTGGCTTTCTGAGAGAAATGGCTTGTCCATATTCATCACTCGTATCTGGAGACGTCAAGGACAGATTAAGAGATAAAGAAGATTGTCTTAAACTTCTCTGTAAGTTATAATAATTTTTCCCATTTATATCATTATTGTACAATTTACATTAAATAGTTCATTATGTGTATTTAAGTATATGTCCGACAATCATTGCAACCTAGCTGAACGTGCATGAGCTCCCTTGTGCAGAAGTGGAAAATAGAAAACTATTAGAAAACTATTTTGGTAGAAACTAAAATTTCTTTGTGAAGTATGGTTCAGCCTACTGAGGTGTCTGATCCCTCTCTTGATGCAATTCCAGCTCAGCTGAAACCGAGACCTTGCTTACTGCATTTTTGAGAGGTTTCTGCGCAGCTTAAAAGAAAGGTGCTGAAACCAAGATTGAGAGAAGTCTAGGTTTAAGTTGGGGTTGGACAAAGGAGTACCAGTTGGGACTTAAGTATGGAATGAGATTATCTTGAGAAATTAGTGGTGGCAAACACCTGACATCTCACAGGAAAGGAATGAAATAGCAGCAGGAACCAATGTGATAATACGAAACTAGCCGAGGAACCAGGGATCTTGGGGGGGGGAAGTAGGCTAAGCAGTTAAATATGATGTGTAGACTAAAGGTAGGAAGTCAGGTGAATGTTGGTTCAGATAAAGAATGGGAAGCAGGTACTGACCTGTCCAGGACAGAACTGAGAAAGATTCTCCCTTTTATTGTGATCTTATTAGAAATGTGTATATTGTATTTGTATATGAGAATATGGATGCAGAAATATTCAAGTGTCTCTAAATCTTCCATTATGACACTTTTCTCTCTAGTGTTTCTAAGTACAGAACTTCAGGCTTTAAAGATATTGCACAACAAGAAAAATAAGGGCCCTCATTTGGAAAAGCACAATGAAATTTATCAGGAAGTGCAAGCTATTTGTGATGCACTGGGCCTCCCAGACTCCTCGTCTTCTGATATTCCTCCCTTGTTAACCAAAGCGGAACAAAAGGTATGGGGTTAATCTGCTCTCTCTGTTGTTAAACTGTAAGCATGAGCTCTGTAAGCATTCATCTTAGAGTTAAGGACCCAACAGTATAAACCATAAAAGCCCTATCTGACAAGTGCAAAGGAATTTTTATGCTGAAAGCCAGCCTAGTGTTGTTAAACTGTTTCAGTTACGAGGTGAAGTATTCCAGCATTTCCCTGAGAATGCAGTGTACCTGGTGAGGCATACTTTGCCCTGCAAGTTTAGGATATGAGTTGAAGTAACATTGTTTTCCTGTCACCCATTCAAATGTGGTGCAGCAAGAAGATGACTTTGGGTAATAACTAATTGCACATTTATGTACCTGTAGTTGTTTATGGGATGTATTTAAATTTGATATCCAAAACTTAAATTTTTGCTTTTTACCTTATGAATTTCTTAATCGCAAGTATTGATTTGTTACTGCCATTTCCTTAGTTGTAGAAGAGGATGAAAATGCCTGAATCACCAAGTTAGCCAGTCAATGAGCCAGCTTAAACCTTATTCCACAGTATGGCTCTTTCAGTTGTGTCCTACCAGTTTGTAATTCATTGCACTGATGGGATCCTGAATCTGACTTGCTGCAGAATGTAAATAGACTTGGGGTGGAATTTACCTTTTCTGTCAGGCAGCTGAGAGTTTTGCTCTTTATTTCTCCTTAGTATTTGGGGAGAGAGTGGGTGACCAGGCACCTTAGGGGAGATACATAGGATGAATGTCCCTCTGCTGCTGAGTGTTGAGTTTAATAATTGTACATGATAATGCTTCTTTTTTTGTTTCCTTCTCTCCCAGTGGCCAGTTGAACATTCAGAGATTTTGGGCGGAGGGCCTGTTACTTGCATGATTTTCTTACATCTGTGCATCCTTAGTGTGAAAAGACAAAACCTTTGATAGATTAATGTATTAAAAAAAGTGTCTGGCTGCCTGTTTCTGCACTATTACCGTGCTTGATCCATTTAGTTCTCATTAAATATTTGTATCCAGTCTTTCCATTAAATGTTTTTGAAAGGATGCAGAAACAATTCTAGCACTGTTTTCTGAGGATTAAAATGTCAGAGTTCCAGCTAATAACTAAGTGATTGAAACTTGCCTTCTGCTGTTGATCTCCCTCTGTGGGTGTTGGCTGTGTGTTTACGTCCATGTGGGTTTGTAGGCAGCAGCCGCAGGTAGTGGCCTTCCTTCCTCACTTCATTGCTTCATTTTTTGGGTACAGATTTAGTTTCATTCAGTTCTAAAGGGATGGGGCTCTACCTCTGCAGCTGGATGACAGTAAGACCAGACCTGGTGGGCCAGTTCCTTCGTGAGTCTAGGAAGTTTTCTGTGAATTATTAGACCCCTGGTATCTGCCACTTCTTGCTAAGCCCAAGATTTGCTTGCAGATAGGGTCACAGGCCTGAAGTGGTGTGCAGGGTGTTACTGTTACAGTTTATGTAAACTGTTACAGTTTCATAAGTACTAAAATGAGAAGAATCTTTCAAGCATGTTGGTTTTTTGGGGTTTTTTTGTTTTTTAATGATACTGCCTGGACTATTTTGCAGTGGTTTCTAGTTCTGTCAGCCACAGCGGTCATACCACTTGTACTCACTTCAGAATGTAGAAAGGTGGCAAAACTAATTCGTTCATCTTCTGTGACTCCAAATTAGTAGTGTAATTTGTTCTCTGCATGTTTCATCACTTAGAAACACAGGAATTTTTTCCTGCCTCTGAGGAGGTTTTGGGGAATTTCTACCATATGTTTCCTTGTCCTTCGTCCTTTATTTTAATGTAGGACAGGTTCAGAGTTATTTTGATACAGTACAGAGCTAGACACCTATATTAGTAGATGTAGCTGTATTAGAACAATTGGAATTCATTAGCTTTGTAAGCGCTTTTTTCAGAGTAACATTTGTTATTGTTTTTAGGTTCTTGCAAAAATTCACTTGAAGATCGATTTCTTTTTCCAAATATTTTGTTGCTTCTGATTTAATTAGGTTCTGTTGCACTGTTGATTTTTAGTATTATACTATATCATTTGTAAAAGAGACTTATATAGCAATCTAGTGTTTTTATTGAATTTGCAAATGTATCTGCAGCATTTCAACATGTCTACTCTTTGTCTCTGTCTAGCATCTTCAGCAATGTCAGTAGCTGTGGGAATAGTTCTGAGAATAGTTTGGCTGTGCAGCAGCAATCTACCAAAGGGACAGATCACACATTGTACTTTGGTATGGAATGTTAGAACATTGATTGTTTTAATAATTTATCAGTTTATTTAAAAGACTAGTGTAAAATCAGGATTGCTTTCTTCATTCTAACCATGAGTTTTATAGTAGCTCAAACTTTGAATGTGCGATTGTGGGAAGTATGTTTTAAATTTGCATCTCCTGCAATAAACTGGGATAGTGGTTATCAACACACATAAGAAAATGTGAGAGATGAATTAACAGTATTACAGGCTCCTAGCACTAAGTATATTTTATTTTACTCTATAGCACTGAAAACTAATAGTAATTTTTTAGTTGTTCTTTTAAGATGCTATTCCCTTGTAAACTATATTTACAAAGGGCAGCTCTGGGAGGTGTTCTGAAATTTAGTACCAAAAACCCCATAAATTCTAACTGAATATTGGTCGAAGAGTCAGAAAAGCTTATGCTGGTGTTGTGCTTTGTAACTCATGCTCACAGCTGGCTTTTTTCCAGTCAAGATAATATGAATTTCACACCTAATTATGAAGTGACATTCTAATACTGTTTATTTGAAAGACTTCTTAATACAATATTACTCAAAAGACTTCTAATTTTTTTTTTTTGTTTGCCCACAGTATTTGTGTTCTAATATGTGAAAAGATGTCCCCTAATAGCAGAGAATGAAAAGAAACTGTAAAGGATTACCAAATAAATTAAATCAAAACTAAGCTAAAATAAGATTTAAGTGAAGTATGAGCAGAAGATCTTTAAAAATATTTGGAATACTTCATGTTTATTCATATTTAAGTTAGCCTGTTGCTTTTAACTGTTAGCGTTTAATAATTTTACAGACATAATGATGCCAGTATATCAAGTATCAATGTAGTTACAGGGAACAAGACTGAAAGAGTTGTCCTGTTCACCAGATATAAAGGTCAAACAAGAAGGTCTTTAGAGTTAGATAAATATTGAAATTAAAATGATCTGGAGGTAAATGGAAGAGAGGCAGAGGAGGGGTTAACAATATTTGTGCCTAAGATTTTAGGTGATATTTCTGCAATTGTGCAATACACCTTATGGCTAATTAAGACAATGTTCTTTCCTTAAAGTGTACTGACTATACGATACGATCACAGCCAGTTGTTGCCAGTGTTGACACTTTAACTTAAGTTGATAAAATGACACCTCTCTCCAGGCCAGGTTTTTTCAAAAATCTTGGAAATGCTGGAGATGCATGCATATATGATATTTATCTGTGCAAATGGTGTTAAACATAAAAATTATTGTTCTGTTTTGACAGAGGGCAAAGATAATTAATAGATGTGTGGTACATGGTAGTGAAATCTGAGCTAAAAATTTTTTTAAAGGAGTACAGACTTATAAAACAGATGAGAAATGTCATGTTCAATACATGAAGATATGGCTTGTTTGGTAACAACAGAATAATTGTCTATTTTTATACAGCAAATTTTGAAGTCAATATTTTTGTCTCAGATCCGATGCCTGGTTTGTTTTTAAACTACTCTTATAGTGTATGAACTTCCAAAGCAATCCCATAAATATTGAATGTTACTGAGGTCATTGATTACACAGTATGTTGAATAGTCAAGTATATTTGTCTCCATCTAGCTTTTAATTAATTGGCTTGCTTTTTACAGCTGAGTGTGTGAGGATGATTTGGATGTTACAATTTGTTTTACATTTCTATGAGGATGTCTTCACTGCTTTTTTATCTCAGCACTGCTTCTGGTATTGTTCACACTTACACATACAGACTTCTTTCTGGATGGTGGTTTTTTAAAACTCCTGCTTATCCTTCTTAATCTAGGGCAACTGTCATGTTCATGGTTGTAGGTTATAGCATAGATTCTTCCACCAGTTGTATTCTTGTCCTCTGGCAGACAGGGTGTATGTCAGAGCTCTTGTGCTCATTGCCCTGCCATCAGTCAAGGCTGGACGATGTATTCTGCAGCTGCAAGGCAGACCGGATTTTCACCATTATAGCTGTAGGTATGCCCTCAGAGTCCTGCTGATGGGGGTGAGGGAATAAAGTGGAGATTCAGTAATCTAGGTATGAGTTTACAGTGTGTCACAAACATGAATGTAAACCCGTTCATCAGTGAAAAGATTCCTCCTTAAATGTTACTTGATTAATAAACTTGCCGCTGGATAAATTATGTGCATATTCTCTTTAACTTGGAAAGAAAAGATTGTGGAAATCTGGGGGCAGTTTGGCAGTCAAAGGATTGTGTAATTTAGCTGGTCTTGTTTCTTCTCATTTTTACTGATTCTTTTCCTTAATTGTTCTCTCTAAACTTCCTTTCATTTTTCAGTTTGTGGAAATCGGGAGTTCACAGTGCTGGGTTAGGTCTTTTAACTGTGATCGACTTGCGATGGCAGAATGTATGGCTTTTGTATGTGGAGCCCAGTATTTTATTTGCCCTTGCAGCTGCAAACTTGCAATAATTCTAGTCTCTAGATAGTATTCAATATCACTGGTTTTCAGATTTTCTTTCACTCTGTAGCTATAAATTGCACTGAGGAATTGTTTTGGTTTCATTGTGCTGTTTTTTTCCAGCAGCCAGTATAATTTTGATAGATTCTCTTCCTTTCAACTCATCAGAACCTTTGAGGTTGTATTTCTGACCTTGATGGTGTATGGAGAGACACCACTTGCCTAATAGAATTTTTAATTCACCTGCTCTTTATTCCTTCTATACTAATAACTGATTTTGTGTCTTGCTGTCATGCTGATCTTATTATATTGTTGATTATTAACTTCAGTTTTTGATTCTTCAGACATTGGTTTAAATCCAAGCATAGTTTGTGCTGAGGTACATTTGAATTTTGAAATAGATTATGAGAGGCATCATGTACATTCTTCACTAAAATCAAAACAAGTTGGCTACATTCAGAAGACAGACAAATCAGACAACTCTGGAGGGCTTTTTGTAAAGAAAATATGAGGTTTAATTCTTTAATCAATTAACTAGGCGCTCTAGAATTTGATTTCTATCTCCTAGAGCTTTTATTCATGGTGATCAGTGGAGGTGATATTTCTATAATATGTAGAGCTGTAAACTCTGATGAGATGAACTAAGGTAATACTGGAAGAGTGGGCTTTGAATCATACCTTTATGATAAATTTAATGTAAATTTCCTGCCCATAAGGCATTAAGTCTTACAGTCTTTGCAAATGAATCTAATGGCTGTCTTCAGCTACAGGATTTACTGTAGGTTATGCACTACAGTAATCCTTCCTTGTGACATATAAAAGAAAATTAAGTCTAGTTTTAGTCTTGTTTGACTTGGTTCCCCATAATTATTTACAAAAGCAAATGAAGGTGTAGTTCTCCCCGTCAGAGTGTGTGTGAAACTTGCAGGAGCAATAACATGCAGAAAGTTAGTTACAAGTCTTGTGGGCGTTCATGATATGGTTTTAGAAGAGCTGTGCCAAAAGAAGTTCCTTCAAGAAGAGGAGGTAGAGGTTTCTTGTAATGAGAGAGGAGAATGCAGTGGAGCTTGGAAGGCAGAGAGAGCATGCTTCATCTCCGATTACTGAGGGCAAAAACTAATGGAAGAAGTATAAGCAAGGCTGCTTTGGAGTGAATGCAAAAGTCTTAAACATAATGTTAAGTGGGACCAATTATAGGATTAGAAGAAAATCAGTGAGAGAATGATCGCGTATCTATCGTATCTCCTGCCTTTCTTACTAGCACCCGTCACCAGATTTTCGTAGCCAAGTCTAACATTTGACAACACAACTCCTAGCTTCCAATTGCTACATTTACTTAGTTGTAGTTACAACACTTAGTAATAAGTAAAATAAGTATTTTAGCTGGTCCTACCTCCTATATACACTTGATAGGTGCCATGTAGATATTATTCTATTATAATTGGGAGAAGAAATGGTGTGCCGAAAAATATTTTTGTGTAGAGGTTGATCATGTAGTGAAAGTATTCAGGAAATCTTTTCGTAATGGATGATAAGCCAGAAGATGCATATCTGTTTTAACAAGTCTGCTAAAACAAATGTGCTGTATTTGATCTTATAAGTAGCAAGTTATGATTGCAGCAAATTGTGCTGAAACAAATGTAAATATCATTTGTGTTCTGAGAACAAGTATGTGTTTCGTTTCAGATAAAGGACATTCTCTCAAAAGTTCAAAATAACCATGTGGGGAAATCACTGCTAACAAAACCTCTGAATTCTGACCAAGTGGTAAAAAAAAGTCTCTCAATTTCTTTTCTCTATTCAAAGTTAATGCATAGGGCTTCATCTATCTTTGTCCATTTTACAGTCACTGTTCTATTGCTAAACATTAATAGTAAAATTCAGTTGCTGAATATTAACAATGCTAATCACATACTTCCAAAATTAATGCTAACAAACAGACTTTGTGTTGATTCATCCACTTATTAACTTTGAAAATATTTTGCATATACATATTAGGGTAACACTACACAGATGCACCCCTAATTTTATGTAGTTTAAAGCAGTCACCCTGGGGGATAGACATTTTAGTTGCTGAATGGGGTTAAATTTAAATTGACTTCTATAACTTTATAGATTTGAATGTTTGGATTTTTTTATTGCAACACTGCAGGAAAGATTGGAAAAAATCAATGAGGCTCTTTGCAGTGAGTATGAATGTCGGCGACGTATGTTAATGAAGAGGCTAGATGTGACAGTGCAGTCTTTCGGCTGGTCTGATAGAGCCAAGGTAAGCTTGCTGTGTTTTTTCCTTCCTGTAGGTGGGAGTCTGCTACAATTCCCCAGGTCTTCCTACCGAGTATACATACCATGTAAATACACTTCTGTTACTGTTGTCTTCTTTCCAACCAGTTTCTGATCCTGGATTGTAACATCCAAGTCCTAGATATTTAGGAAGGGGAAGGATGACCAGATGGCATGGTCCATCATTTGTGACTGTTTATAGCTTCACAAAGCACTTTGAAAGCTTACTGAAAGCATGAATTATTACAAGTCTTTCTGGTGTCACAATTTGTCATTGACACGTGCAGACAGAATCAGTTTCATGAAGCTCACTAAGTTTTGCTGGAAGACATGTGTCTCGATGCTGCTGTGCTGCTTTGGAATGGTTTGCCATTTCTGCAGGGGTTGTGAATGCTTTTATGATACAAGAAAGGAGAAGGAAGGCATTTATCTCACAGAAGCCAGGGGGTGTCCCTAGATGCGTAGCTTCCTTGTAGCTTGTACCAATACAACTGTGTATTTTCCAATTTAAAGTGTAGTTGATGTTAACTGGTGACTAACTTAGACTAAAATTTTAGGTCACTTGATATTATTCCATTCAGCAACATGAAAAACAATGAATACACTTTCACAGTAGAACAATAGTTTAAAGAGATTTTTAATGATCACAGAATCACAGAATGTTAGAGATTGGAAGGGACCTGGAAAGATCATCTAGTCCAATGATGATAAAGTAGTAAGATGATTCATTTTCCTGTCTTATAAATGCTGTTGATCTGAAATAGTATGCAGTTACAGAAATAACCAGGTTCCATATTAATTCAAAATTATATATATATTTTTTTTTCCTTGTTTTTCTTGTAAAAATATTTATTTATGACTTCTTCAAGAAGGATTTGGGGATTGAAAATGTGTTGGCATTGATATAATTTAGATTTTTTTTTTTTTTTAAGCCAAGAGGCAAATTATTGTCCTTTTTCAATGTACTTGTTCACTGGCCTTTTTTTCCCCACTATTAAATAGGCATTGATACCTTTCTGTGCTTTTGATGGTGTGGCACTTTTTGTGGTGGTTTTTTTTTTTTTTTAGTTGTTCGCTCCCAAATAGGGGTAAGTTTGCAGACTGAAATGGATCTATAAATGGTGTAGTAATTGCCTAGCAAAGCAGTCACGTGAAGGAACAGCACCTGTTGTCTGGTCCGTCCAAGATAATTTTTTTTTTCCTCTGAAGATTGTTCTAGATGTTCCCAGAAAGTGTATTTATTTTTCTTTTTTTTGTTAAATGAAACATCAAAGTGTATTTGGAAAAAAAATCTTATTTTCTCGCCTTCTCAGTCTCACTTTTTCATGGCTTGCACAAGTGTTTGGCTGCATTGAGCATTGATATATTTGAACTTTTTTCCACAAATTGACTTCACTTTGAAGCTACTCTGTTTTCATCACATTTAGAGGTGATCTGTTAAATATCTCTATGTGAAGCTCTTGAGAGCGCAGTTTGGACTCTTAAGTATTCGTCTTTAGAGATGTTGGAAAACATCAAAGAATCTGTTTGATGCCAGTGGATAGGAGAGTTTCCTTTGTAATGTTGCGGAGTTTCAGTCTCAGTTAAACATACCAGCAGCGGTTTTTTTTGGACAATAGCTCCATCAGTATGAAGAGAATTGGTAACAACTGGCACTATATTTTGTAAGATAACCTAGATTTTCAGACATTACACCCTGTGCTCAAATTGAAACTTAGTTAAGACCAGTACATGGTTTACAGTAAGTTTGTGTGGTTTATGCCTAGCAACTAAGCTGTGTTTTATTTTATCATTTAGGTAAAAACAGATGACATAGCACGAATCTATCAGCCCAAGCGCTATGCATTATCTCCAAAGTCAACTATTACATTAGCTCACCTTCTTGCTGCTCGAGAAGATTTATCAAAGATCATAAGAACAAGTAGTGGATCAACACGAGAAAAAACAGTCTGTGCTATCAACAAGGTATACTTTTTCTTTCTGGGATGTGCTACAAGGACATGGGAGTTCACAGACTTATCAAAAGTAATTCTGGAATTGTACTCTTTGCTTAATATTTTCATTTCTTTTTGCAAGATGGTTATACCTGGTGCTTTAAGAAAGGAAGGTTTGCAGCATTCCAGTAAACATTGCAGGAACTTCTTTTTTGTCTTATTAAACAGTCAGTCATGCAACAGGATGAAGCAGTAGTCTAGATGAGAAGGACCAGTGGCGGGGGCCATGTGTGTGCGCCTGTCTATGTGTAAATCACCTCCAGAGTTCAGTAGAACTGCACACCTCAGGTTAAGGATACAGTTATCGCTTCCTGGGCTACCTGTTGCTAGGATTATGTTGTTCAGTTCGTAAACCAGTGTCTTTAGTTTATCAGTATGTTATAAATTGCAAAAGCTTCTGTGGAAGTGTAATTTTGCTACAAAGTAATGTTATTTGATTTGGCTACAGTAATAAGTCAACATTGTACCCACATTAGTTTCACCATTCAAATGGTGACTAAACCTGTTTTTATGAATGCTTTATTTACACATTTTTTAAAGTTTTATGCCTCATTTACATACCTTTTAATATGTTTTGATCCCAAAGATTCTGAGGTTTTGTAATTATTGTAGGATCTCAGAGAAAGTTTTTCTTTTTCTTGAGAGGACTTTAATTGGAGTGCCTGGGACGGACCAGAGTATGCTAAAATTCATTACACAGAGAGATTAGGAAATACAAAAATATCAAACAGGCCTACTCGGATACCTCTTTGTTCTTAAACCTAATGTTCTCTGTAACTTTTTCCAGTACAGTCTTCCTTTTTGTATGCTGAGTAATATCCACCAAATTCAAGATCCACCAAATTCAAGATCCCTTTTTTAATTTTCTTTAAAGTGTTACTGCAGCACATGATGTATTTTTTCTGTTCCAGCTCTCTACTGAGTGTCAGTAGTTTCTAATTTAAGGCAAACTGGTGTTCCTTTTAGAGTTGCACATCAGTTTGTTAGTTTATGTTTTTTGTCAGATGATTAGGTTTGAACTTTGAAATTTAAGTAGAAGAGCAGTATCATAAGGAGTCTTTTCTATGTGAATATATATTTATATATCCATATATATGAATTGTATATTGCTTATTGTAGTACTAATACTTCACATGTGCGTAGTTTTCTTCATAAATATTTCAGAAAAGTAATATGAGCAAGCTAGCTGCAGTTATTTCTATTTTGCAGATGGAAAATGGGATCACTTTCAGAGGTCTGTTGTGTTGTGGCAACTTACAAGGCCAGGAAATAGGGATTCTCCTGTCAAGCTCCACATGATGGGGACCATATTTCCTGCAAAGAGCAGGCAGCATGTCTTTGTCCATAGCAGAAGAACCCTGTGTCCCTTCAAGTTACTATTCCTGTTTTTGTAAACTAAAAATGACCTATTTTTTCCATATAGGTTCTGATGGGGAGAGTACCTGACCGTGGAGGCAGACCAACAGAGATTGAACCACCTCCTCCTGAAATGCCTCCTTGGCAAAAACGACAAGAAGGTGGTGGAAGAGGTGGCTGGGGAGGTGGGGGTGGAGGTGGAAGGGGCAACTGGGGAGGTGGAGGGGGTAGAGGAGGAGCAGGTGGTGGTTTTGGAGGTGGGGGTTTCAGAGGTGGTGGAAGAGGTGGAGGTGGCTTCCAAGGTGGCAGGGGAGATTACGGTGGCAGGGGAGGTTACGGTGGCAGGGGAGGCTACGGTGATCCATATGGTGGAAGAGGAGGGGGAGGATACAGAAGATACTAAAATACTGTAAATATTAACAGAGTAATTGGGAAAATTATAGTGGTGGTGTTTACTGGCACCAGGAATTTAGATATGTTAACTTTAGGTTAGAATTGAGTATGACCATGTGAATCATTGCATTAGACCAACTGATGTTGTCATTGAATTCTTTCAGTTAACAGAACTTTTATACTAAAATGTGATGACTAAAGTCCTTGTTTTTCATACTGGTCATGTGGTGTTTTTTTTGATATGTTATTTAAAATAAGCCTCAGAAAAATGAATAAAACCCTTTCTAAACAAACAAAAATATATTATTTAATGTTCAGGCCTCTCTAATTATTGCATGTTGCATGTCCACTCCCCTGCTCCAAAATGCTGTGTAGAAAAAGCAAAATAGGCATAAGACCCAGATGGAAACACTTTTCAAAGACTATAGAATGCTGCTTTCAGGCTTTTTCTCTTCATCTAGTTTTCATGTGGGACATGTAAACAAATTTTAATGTCAAATGTTAAAATCCTTAAGGCTTTGGTCAAAATTATTCAATTAGGTTTCTTATTCTTCCAGAACTTCACATAAAAGTAACATTCTGAATTAATAATCTACAGAAACTAACAAAATCAGGTTGTTTTGTGTGTTCATAAATATATTGGAGACTGTTTGAAGGCCAGAGCTTGTACCGTAAATTCAGAATCATGGTGAGTTTTGATAGGGTCTATTTTCATTTTACTTGTTTTCCATTTTATTGGTGTTTCCTGCCCAATCTGTTCTTAAAATATTTTTATGAAAGTTCTGCAGCCATCATGTCTGGTAAGAGTTCATTTATATATTCCTTCTGAATCAGCTTTGAGACATAAAGGTTAAATAAGCTGAGCTTCATGGGAAGTTAACATCCCTTTTTTTTTTTTTAATTTTTTTTTTTATTCCCCCACCTGCTCTATGTTTGGGAATTGCCAAGGCCCAGCTAATAAGACATCTCATCCAGCAGTTGCCGTTTCTCGATGACTTCTCTCTCTTATTCTGCCAACCAATTGGTCTGATAACCTAAAAGGAACTGTGGGTGCCTTCTACTTCACAGACAGTGTTACTCTAGAAGAAGGCTTTAGCTTTCATACAGTTATGGCTGTAAATACATATAGATATGAATTAAATGGAGAGCTGTAGGTTAACGAAGACAGTTTCTGTTGTCCAGCATCGCCTCCCCTGCTGCGAGGCCACTCCGGAGTACGGAGGTAGAACAGGGAGATGATGCCCAAGTATATACTCATGACAGTATTTGTCAGGGTCAGGTTACTACATCTGATAAACCTGGGGGTGTCTATTGATTGCATAGCACAGAAACCTTGAAGTACTTTAATTGAGTATGTAGCTGTAGGCTTAACTGCAGATTGAACTTCGGGGTTTGATTTTGGTTTTATGTTCCACCGTTACGAGTTCTTTCTGCACAGATTTCCTATATTTGGTATGCTTTCAAGGTGTTATTTTACCTTCGGGAACACATGCATCGTGCCCTGTTTCATAGGCAGCTTTATGCATCAATGTAAGGCTTGGTTCGAAAATCAAATTATTCTCTCTTTCAGAGGCCTATGTCAGGTTATATTAATTGGCCATCACCAACCTTTCCATTTGAAATTTTAATCCAGATAAACTTCAAAAGTTTCTCTCCTGTTATTTCCTCTCTGATCATAGTCTGCTTGACAATGCTGGTTATGCTATGATAGGTATATAGGCTTACCCGTACTTTAGGATACCAGCAGGTGCACAACAAAAAAGGGCAGGAATTTTCCTTCCTTGAACATGTTAGCTTAGGTGTGAGCTCATGAAATAAGGGCTTAACTTCACACAGCTGCTAGCAATGTAGTTCCTTTGCCAGTTTTTTTTCTACACTCCTTTCTGGCCTAAGCTATTGTCAGCCTCTGCAGTCATTATGGAGAGACCCTCATGGGTCACATGGGAGCATAGTACTGGTTTTCCTGCTTTTGAGCTTGATTTTTGCCTAATGCTCTGGAACAGCTCACAAACTGATGACATACCAAGTGAGACTGCTGGCCTTGGAGGTGAAGTGCAGGTCAGAAAAGGCATGGAGAGAGTAGTTTTTAACAACCAAAGCCTTAATAACAAAAAATTGTTTGCTCATCCCAGTGTTATTTTTTTATTACGAGTAGTTTCTGAACAGCAGTCAACCATTTAGCTTCACCAAGGAAATATGCTAGAAAAATCAAATGGCTTATCTATGCCTAAAGATTTAATCAGTCTTAAAATGCAAAGCTGCACTGGTTTAGTTGAACTGTTGTAACTGTGGATGTGGATGTGCCTTGGTGCTTTTACACTCACCAGTTTATGCTGTTTGTAGCAGGCAGGGCAGTTCTGAATGAAGTAAACCATCAAGTGAACCAGCTGTGTGCCCACAAGTAATTCTAACACTTACATTATGTCAGTATCATATTTCAATTATATTTATGTAGACCATGTGAAAGACATTTAAATAGGTTGGAGACATTGTTTTTTATTCTGGCCATTTCAGTGCTTAAATAATTCCAAAATGTGAAGCCAGTAGTGAAAAACTAAAGTAAGCACCACCCACATCTCATACAGGTATCCCTCAAAAAGTCCTCTGTTGTCAGAATGTATGCTTTGAGTTTGTCAAAAGATGCAATAAAACCATGAGAATAATTGATTTAAATGTCTTCTCAAATTTTGTATGTTTATCTTGAAAAAAAGTATTTTCAAAGATTCTGTTGTAAGTAAAAGATTTTCATATATATGTTTGTGAGAATTTTTGTGTTTATTCACAAATAGTGAATATCTACCTGAATATTGTTTTGTTTGATCGAGAATTGAAAAATAGGTTGGGGTATTTTTCAGGATTTGAGAGACACTTTTGTTAACAGCTGTAAACACTGAGGAATAAAGTACTGTAGTGGAAGTTACTTGCATCATTTGTGTAGTGTGATTTGGATCCACTATCATATATTCCTCCTGTGTTTGTAAGGAAGAATTCCTAAATACTGATGGAACTTACTTTTTATGATAATGAAAAATAACACATGTATTTTGACCCAAATGGAGAAGGCTGTAGATAACAATGTAGGAAAATTTCAACAGATGGGGCATGTTGCAAATATATCCCTATTACATTTTCTGGGATTACTAAGGCATCTCAGTTAAATTTTATCTTAGTAAAAAAAAATTGCATAGATCTATATGATCATTACTTTTGTCTTTACGTAAACTAAGGAAATATCGTCCAATTACTTCTGAAGTTTTCTTTTTTTAATTTCTATAATTATGAAGTAAAACACAACTTGCTTTCTATGTGTAAGATTGTAGAACAGATTTGATCGTTTAAATAGGAATTGTGTTTTCAGTAGTCTGCACTCCTTGTCTTCTTCCCTCACCTCCCTCAGATGACTGATCTTAACTGAATGAATGTTCATTACCCCATATAAAAACATATTTGAGGTAAGGTATTTCGAGGTTTACTACAAGGTAAAGAAGAACAAGTCTTTAGGTGCTACAATGGTGCCTGTGTGATAGCCAGCATTAGCAGACACTGCGGAAGCCTTGTTTAAACTTGGCTGTCAGGCTGTGACATTTATTCAGCATTAGCATTCTTTAAAAAAGTGAGAGGGTGTGCTAATGAAGAATTGTGCTTTGTAGTACTTGGAATAGTGAGTAGCAAAGCAGTGTCTTTACTGTGTCAACCACTAAAATACCAAAAGAATAATCTGCAAATTCCTAGCTTCCTAAGTTTTCTCAGGCAATGTTCCAAGGCTCAGAGAAGGTGAAGCTAGACTGGGGACTCTGGTACTAGGTTAATCCTGCAGAAGTGTCTCAGATGACAGAGTCAAGGAAGATATGTAGGTTGTTTAGATTTCTTTGAGATACGAACCAGAGGCATGAAGTGCAATTTTAATATTTTTCTATTATAAATATTAAACCAAAATCTTACAGTTTCTATAAAATCTTTACAATCTGTACACTTTTTTTAATCTTCTCAAACAGCATTAAAACAAAAATGTTTCAAGTTGCCATAGAGATCAGTTACACCAAAATAACAGATTGCTACTGTAACAAAACTGTACTTCCAAAAACATACATGAACTACCTTAAAGGTAGTTAATCTGTGTTTAATTTTAATATGAACAGTAGCCCTGCCTTGTAAACTGTAATATTACTCAACCTATTTACTTTTATCTTTCAACGATCAGAATTCACACTTGAACAGCGGTTAGGGTCGGGGGGCACCTGTTTTTTCTTCCTCTATATACATGAAATACAGCTGAGCCTGGAGAAGGAATAAAGGTGAGTGCTTTTCATTTAAATTAGACATGACAAGATAAATTTCAATATCAGTGTTTGCTAACATGACTTTTAAACAGCATGTAGTACTTTAATTGTATCTTTTTTTTCCTAGCATAAAGCAGCTTGAAGATTAATACAGATGTGAGTGATTTTTTGTTCAGTAGCTATGTCAGTTTTAGCAGTATCCCTGTAGTCAGTTTCTGCTATTAGTCTTTCATGCAGGAAAAAGGAAGTCCCAAAAGAAATAAGAAGGGACTACTGCCATTTAAAAAAAAAAAAAAAGAAAGAAAAAAAGAGAGAGAGAGAAAACTGTAATGGGCTTTGGGCAAACAAAGAACCTGAAGGTACTTTAGGTACTTTGAGAGGTCTGAAATTCTCCAGGTATCAACTGACTTCTTTGAAGCAGGAAGTTTTCAGCATACATGATGCACCACATACTTGCTCTGTAAGACATTCCTGCAAACAGACACCTCATAAGTAATTCAGATTGTTTGTAGGAACAAGAAGACACAGAAACATTAAGTTAGCATTTAAGACTGTACAAATCTATGGTCATAACTCAATTTTTAGTATTAAGTACTCAACCTAGTAACACATGAGCCTTTGGGGCAGCTGCTGATGTTAGAGAATTTTCTCTTTAAGTAAGAGTTTGTTCATGATCTCCACACCCCCAGTGTAGACAAAGTATATGCGTACACACAAATACCATTAGAAT